TGGCACATAGTTCAAACTACTGTTGTTGTAATACATAATTTCGTTTCTGTGGTAATCAATTTTTTATTGATTTATCCATACATAAGGTACTACACATAATATATACAATGGCGCAAACATATGCTATTATAATGACGAATAAGCTAAGGCAAAAATGTATCGTATACATGTTCACATTGATTCTTTATTTAATACTTTTATGATAACTAAAATTATAAAGTGTTGTTAAAAATTGAATGGTTAATAAAAAATTTAATATCATTTATTTAATTGGTGACGTAATACACGGGCACATTGGGGCAATAATCAACAGTACGTTGCTCGACTCGTAACAGAACATAATTCAAATAGCGCGATACGTTAAGTATACATAAATTTTTTACATATTCTAATTATACTTTTGCATAAGAAAGATTTTTTGATAAAAAAAAAGGATAAATAAATAAAGAACAAAAAACTAAAAAAAAATGATTTTTATCATTTAAATTATGTTCTACCACTTCAACTATTCTTTAACTATTCGATAAAGATAAAAACTTTGCTACATTCGGTTGTAGTGATAATTTAGACATTTATTCAAAACATGTCTTTTCTTTTTTCAATTTTGAATAACCGAAATCCGAATCCGATCTCGTAGCGTCCTCGAATACATCATGTCGATTGAGAAATGAAAGTAAATTTCACCTGTAATTCTTTACATAATCGATAATTTAGTGCCACTGCGAGATCGCTACTCATCATAAATACGCTGATGTGGATTCTTAGCTAGAAGGAAGATGTCTAATCATAGTCCTTAACGTTTTAATAAAATTGTAATAAAAGTACTAAAGAAAAAGATTAGAATATTTTTGAACTTGATCATCACAAACTTTGGTTAAAAAAATGATGGTACTTAAATCATGTTATTAGCGTCACATCTGTGTTGTTTATTACAAAAATTCTTGGTAATTATTCAGATTAAGGAATACCCCCCGTCGATGACCTTGACCTTGACATATGTTGTCAAGGTCATGGCTCTAAATGACCTGACAGATTTTAGGTGGCGGTCGTCCTTCGTTAAAAAGATATTAATAAAAAAAGTTTTAAAAATAATGCTTTACTTCTATTACATACTTCAGAAATACTCAAAAATATTCAGATAGTTTAATGGTATATAATATCCTCACCCTAACCTAACCATGGTACACGGTTGAGTTAGGGTTAGGTTATTATATACCAATGGGTATATAATATAACTATATAACACGAGTATTCCCTGCTTTAATATATTTGCTATTTGTGTACTGTAGGGTGGTGAGAGCCGAAGGTGAAAGTCGTGTGCCCCTTCGCAGGGCTATTTCTTTCACCCGAAAGGACTCTCACCTCCCCCTCCTCCCTGCAAAGGGGCGCACGATTCGTGTTATATAGTTGAACTTTTTTTGTCAAGTTCCTAAGCGCGATCTATGCCGACATTTTAAAGTTCGTTCGCGTCACATGCTCCAACATACTCCTATCATAGGTTCTACTTACTCCAACACGATCGTTGGAATGAGTAAGAGCTATGGTAGAAGTATGTTGGAGTATGCGACGCAAACGAACTTATTATCTTCTGGAGTTCACCCTGGAGCATGTGATGGCAATCATGTGGTACTTGGGATATTTTAGAAAACTTCGATGAGAAAGAGGAAGTTGAAAAGGGATAAAGTTCGGCAGAGTTCAATTTAGCAATTAAAACTTATTTAAAGCCTTTTGTTTCGTACTCTGCCAACGTCTCCCTATCGATTAATATATGACTCATAACTGCTCACTCGGAGCTCAAACTGGACACAGTTCTTTAGTTATAGATACTTCTTTAACTATTGTAGATTCTTTAACTATAGATACAAATCTAAAAATAATTTTGTTAGAATACCAAAATAATTATCTAGGATGCTTAAACATGATAATGTAAGACGTGTACATAATGGTGAAAGGAGAGGTTGGTAGTAAAAGAGGAAAAGATTAATGGCGAAAACCTATCCTCACGAATGTGCCGATATGGCGACGAGATGGCTAAATCTATGAGAGGGAATGGGAAGGAATCAAACTCTCATAGATGTATTACAGTATTTTGTCAGAAACCGTAGGACGAATTAGAGCATGGAACGAGATATACACAAATACCAATGAGCTTCAGAGAACACTGCTTTATTCCCATACACATCTTCTTACTTGGATCATTATTGCATCAACAATGATAATTTTAGCGGGAGAGTCGTTCCCTCTTTCTTCTCATGGTTAGACTAGATGTCGCAAGCGAGCGATGAATAAGACGCTGACTACAGGGGAAAGCCAATAACCATCACATAAACACGTAACTCGGAGGGCCAATCAAACGGAAGATAACTCATGGTTGCCGGGCAGCAACAGTATAACGAATATAATTAAAATTGCACGCGCATAAAACGCTTATTTCTTACAATAATAATACTGCAAAAAAATTTGACATTCTGGCAACCAATTTGAGTATTCTATATAATTATTAACATTATTGTCCACACACAATAAAAATATTTTTAGACTTATCTCAATTTTTTAATTTCAATAATTCCATAACCATTCTTTCGATGTATTTATAGTTTGACATGATTCGTAAATTCATGAGTTAAATTATATATCTTTATTAATCTTAAATATATAAAAACGTTATATTATATATGATACGAATATAAAGAAATTATTAAATAAGTATCATTTTTCATATGAGAATAATTTTTTAAGTAAAAAAAAAAAGAGTTTCGCTTCCGTACTCAAATAATTAATTGAAAAATTATTAAAATGTTAATATTTAAAAATATATCCGCATTTATTTAAATAGAAAAAATACTAAATATAAATATGTTTGCTAAAAAAGTTGTTTTTATATTTATAACTCTCATAAATTATTAGCTTGTTTTCTTCAACAAACAGTCGATCGCAAATTGAGAATATCTCATTTAAAATTAAAATCATGAATTGTAGGTAGACAAGATGTGCCTAGTGAGAAATATACGCTTTTCTTTCGTTCTTCTCTCTTTCCCTGTCATGCTCTCTCTCTCTCTCTCTCTCTCTCTCTCTCTCTCTCTCTCTCTCCTTCTCTCTCCACGTAATCAAAATGTACAACATGTTTCGATAAAGAGAAATTCTGAGAGATCTGAGATTACACTACGCATGCAAAATAAAAATTTTCACTTCTCATTGACGCTGTTTTTATTTTTGCACGCCTATTTTGCGTGGATATTTGTAAAATTTTGTTACAAACAAAAAATAACAAGAAATATCTATTTCTTAGAATGCTAAGTGAATGTTGCAGTTTACTTTATCAGGGCAAAGAGCAGTCTAGTACTGCTTCTCGCAAAAAAAAAACGATGATAATTATATTTGTTGCTCGATGAAGCCATTATGAGGTTTCGTAGAAGAAAAAGTGGAACATCACTACTGAAAGACCATTTAAAAATATATAAATCAAACTAATAGCGAGTTATTTCTATTATTTTTTAATTTGATCGATAAACCAATCACACGTTTGCAATTGTATTTCATTGCAGAATTACAGAACATATACATTGCACAATTACTATTAATGAATTTAATTGATTTTGAATCTATGATTATAGAATTCAATATATTTTTCCGGATGCAACAGAGATAAAAATAAAAATACAAGATATTATAAAATTACAATATATCACTCGTGTTAATATCATAAGGCATCAACTCTTTGTAACTAAGAATTCTTTAGAATTTATCGCAAAATAAGGTTATTGTGTCGAAAAGTTGCAAAAGTGAAATGCTATCAACAAGATCAACAACTTCTTTCCCGCTGCAATTCTTGCAGCGAGCCGAGATTTTGCAAAAGAATCGAAGCGCATCACGTAGTCTCGAAGTAATGTAACGAAACGTAGATGTATGGATTGGAGAAGTACTACCTGTTAAACGGCACGTAGACATAGAGAAAGTGTGCGCAAGTAAACTCGTCTCCCCACTGTGTCAAACATCGGCCACGAAAGCAAAGAGAAAGATGTCGACACCATTATCGCGCATGAAAGAGAGGAAAGTTCGTGTACGATTTACGCGTTGGAAAAGAAAACGATGTACTCCATCAAATCTACCTCATTCGATAATATTCGTTGCAAAATCGCATACCGATAACATTGGAACCGCCTATCGCGTTTTACTTTGCGTCTTTCAACGAAAAGAAATCATTATTTAACATATTAATTATTTAAATAAAACAAATAATTAAATTTATTATTTAATTACCTAATGTACTTGTTCATTATTGTCAGAACTATAAAAAAAATACTTATCTTATTTGAGCAATGTCATATTACGCATTATTACATTGTTTCATCTCATTTTATTGATAGAATAATGTTGGATAATTTGAACCGTGTTTCTCGCAGAACTTCGTTTCTCTTTCCGTTTTCTTTTGTTGAGATATAAAAAGTTTATTTTGTTATACCAAAGGATATAGCTAAACGGATCTATTACCGCATTTATTACAAGAAAAGGTAAAGTACCTAAAAAATTAGCTACATACTAATCTGAAAACTAACTTTGTTGGACCATCAAAATAATTATGTACGAACTCAAACTGATTGCTAAAATATCGAAAATTTTTATAGCATTTCTTTATCACGCTTGAAATTCCTACGTAATTATTTTTATGATATAACAAAATTATTTTCAGTTTTATATCTATAGCTAGATTTTTAGATACTTTATAAAATCGTTTTTTCTGTGTACATATTCTTGGATCATAAAAATATATTCTCGATAGTTATCCCTATTGAAATAAAAACAGATATAAACAACAAAATAGATATGAGTTTAGAAATTTCATTTGTATGAAATAAAATATACAAAATCTTCAAAATAATGTAACCCGTTTAAAAAAATTAAAACGCACGACAGCTTCCACACCTTACGGGATCATGTTTTCGTATACATTGAAAAGTATACTAGGGACCCAACTGGTTTTCACTCCGAGCATTCACCGAAGCACTGCAGTTCAGTTCTTACCGGCGCTAGTTTCATTCCGCTGCCATTTTCCCCGATTTATTATCGAACGTTCTCACGCTTCTGACAAAGTTTAAAGTCATTCAAGTTAGTGCGGTACTAAACGCACAATAACGCAGAATATAACCAAGATGTAATTCGTTTGACTCGAATATAATCACAGAAGATCATAGTCGACGTTATACAAAAATGTAAAGAGAGATCATTAAAGATCCAATCAAGATCATTAAAACGACGTGTGGAAAAACAACGCAGAAATGTACGTGAATGATGGATCAACGAGTTCAGCACGACATATTGCCAACGTGAACAAGCTAGATGTTATCATGATTTTCGTGTCGCGCAACATCCGCATTTGCAAGTATGTCAGCGACATCGAAACGTTAGACGAAATTATAACTCAATTCTTTCTGCATGAAGCATCATTTGATCATTGGTTATTGTTGAAAAGAAATACGTAGGAATATATGACATGAAATGTATATTGAAATCTAGGAGATTTGTGGAATCTGTGTGATAAGGTATGTTTATACTCAAATATAAACAATTTTAATCCATAAAGCATGTGAAACAAACGTGTCTCTTATTTCCCTCTTATTCTTTGTCGTATAATATCATATAAATAGATCGCAATTATAACTGTAAGTTTTAACCGATCTCACAAATGTTACATAAAAAGTTAATCTTGTTACGTGTAAGAAATAATATTTCTGTACATTTTTATATTATTTCCTTACTATTTTCTACAAGAAATACATTATTTTTATAAATTTACAAATGGTTCGCAAAAAAAAAAAATTTTAAATTCAAGGATGTTTTTTGCAAATATCATATATTTAAAAAATTGTCATATAGTATATTTGAAATTCCTACGTTAACAACACAAATTCGTAAACCTTTCAGGAAAGTCCGGTATAAAATAATTCAAGCAAAGACCGATTAAAAAAAGAAGAGCTCACCGAAGTAGTCTATATATATAAAATTAATTGCTTAGACTGCGCTTAGTCTAGTATTTATAACCGTACTCGGGCAAATTAAAAAAAACTGAACACGCGTATAAAAGAACATAAAGCAGACGTAAAAGAACCAACCAATTCTCTGTCTCAAAATCGGTTGAATAACGAACATAATCAAGATTGGAATAATGTAAATATTAATAATGTAAATATAGATTCATAAAAATTAAAAAAAGTAGATAGATCAAAAAACGAGCAAAAGAAAGATCTAATTTAAAAATATATATATAATATCTGGAGACACTAGTAGTGTCTCGGCGCTAAGATACGCGCATTTCACTTTACATCACAAATTAATATTCAAAGTCCTATAGATAACATGGAACGTTTCAATTATACTAACAATAAGTCTTCATCAGCCAAATCAAATTACAAAATTTTAAATATAAAATATTTAATATAAAATATTTAAATGTTGAATGAACTCTAAGAATAAAATTATAAAGTATATATTCACATCGCGATAAATATTGTATAAATCGTCAAAAGATATTAAAAAATTAATTAAATTTTAAAATAAAGTGCGTAGTCATCATGCCGCAATAAAAATCATACAAATCATCTAAAGATATCAAGACTATTTCATCGTTGGACAGCGAAAAAGAGCAGAGTCAATTAAACGGTCTAGCTGGATCTTACATGTTTGTATAATTCTGTTTGAATTTATATACTACTGTATGTAGTCTTTTAAACTGCGCGCCGAAATGATTTTTGGTTTTGAAACGCAAACTCTATTAAACTACCGCAGTAATATCACGAGTTAAAGTCTAGGTCCATAATCTTATTATTTTAATAGTGTTTTTTACTGGCACAACTGGTGCGCACTCAGTTCACTTTAAAGCCGTTGTACACACAAATTGATGTAAAGATAAGTTTAATAAACATATAGAAACAAATTAAATCACGAAATCTTCAATACATTTTATTGTAGTATTTGATAAAATATATATATTGGATGTTTTATTAATTGAGATATCTCACTTTTACATTCAGATTAGGTTAGTGTACAACAGCTTTAATGTGCACTGAATGCGCATCAGTTCTGCCAGTGAAAAACGCTATTAGAGGCCCTAAAGCCGTAAAGTCGTAAGAAATTAACCAACCACAGTCGATTATTTTTCTCGTATTCAACTGTAATTGGTCAATTTCTTAAGGTTTTTCGGCTTACCATTTCTTAAAGTAAAATTGTAGACTTAAACAAATTGACTAACAATTTAACAATTCGACACTCTTACGCATCTCAGAATAATCTTAATAATGCTGAATGATATATTAAAGTCTGTAAATAATTCTTATTACGAAAAATATTATCTCGGCCAGTAATCGAATCCGGATTTCTAGCATTTCGTGCAAGCGTTTTAGACCATCGAGGCCTTGATAATATTCTTCGCGATAATTAACATATGAAGAAACGTGATATTACTGCGGTAGTTTAGTAGAATTTGCGTTTCAAGACCAAAAAATCATTTCGGTGCGCAGTTTAAAAGACTACATACATAGTAATATACACACTGAATTATATAAAAGCACTTAAGATCCAGCTAGACCGTTAAAGGCATTTATTTCATACATATTATTACTTTCTACATATATGTTTTAAATGATTCATTCGCATGTGCGTATAAAATATCGATAAATATTTTACTTTTTTTATTAGTAAAATTAATTAATGATTTATTTTCACAGACGACTTATGTTTTTCATCGCTCGAATGAATAATTTTCTTGAATGTCGCATTCAAATATTAATATGCTTGGCGATGAATACAAACGGAAATGGCAGCTGTATTAACAAGCTTAATCGGCACTACTTCCATTCTGGAAGTTGGACTCGGTTTGATTCCACTTTTGGCCATCGGTCTCACCATCTACAGATACAATAACGTCGATCCAGAATCACATCCGCAAAATGCGCAAGAGGTATGAAAGAAAAACTAGAAAAAGAAAAAAGGAGAGTAGAGAAGTTTACTCTTGTATAAATTGTTAGAATTCGAACAATCTTTTTCATACAGTCGATAAAGTAGTGCTTAAGATTCATTATCAATTACCGACCAAATAAATCTAAGATTGTTAGATCAGTGAAAACAAATTATATTACGAAATCCTTAACACAAGTGAAATAAACAAGAAGTTAGTCGTCGCTTATAAATTAGCTTACGAGTTGACAGTTTCAGAGCACAAAATATTCTTCTGGTATTAAATACTTTAATTATATCACAGAATAATATAAATTAGTCTTCTCCTTTGCGAGTATATGATAATAAAATAAACAATTGTCATTAAAAATTTTTACAATTTCATACAGAGAAATGCTACACACAACGTACTATTAATTATTTCAGAAAATATTTAAAATGCAATTATTATTTATCGATGCATCTTCTTAATTATTTGGTTAACAATATTTGAAAATATATCAATGTTGGTTATTAACCGCGTGTAATCTAATAATCAGAGTCAAAGGAACATTGCTTTATAAAAATAATGCGTTAATGTTGCTATTGTTTGTTAGTAATTCTAAAAAGTAACGCATTACTATTACTATTACACAGTAAAAAATGATTAGTTGAATCAAGTTAAATTGAGATAAATCAACTCAATCTCAGAGTTAAATATGGCGAACTAACTGCCGGGTTGCGTCAAGAAATATTTTAACGTTCTTTTAATATCTTCCTTGTGTTAAATAAACATTAAATTTAGTTTTATAAAATATTTATAGTTAACTAATTCTAAAATTATTATTATTATATTGGTAGTAAACGAAGGTAATTGTATCGTAAATTAAAATAATTTTATAAGCACGATGAAATAAATCTGCAGTACAATAAATTAATTTTAATATTTGATTAAACTATTCTACAAAGTAACGGGAACTCAATAAATTGTTGATGGTAACAATTTCGGGGTAGACTTGACTTTGTGTTCGAGTGAAGTAATAATTTATCTAATAAGACAATTTATTAAATTTATCTGATTCCGTTACTTTGTAAAAAAAATTAAAACTTTCTATTGTATAAATTGATTGATTAGTAGTCGCTCTAAAAAAAATGATTATCCCCATGATATGGTGAGAAGTGTATGAAAATAGTTTGACCATCCCCGCTTTATACGGATGAATGTCGAATTTCTTACGAGTATACGCGCCATCTATTAATAGCTCCACAAAATACTTCCTCTAAATCAAAGTGAAGTACTATCAATAACTTATTGAGTTCCTGTTACTTTATAGAACAGTTTAATCAAATATTAAAATCAATCTATTGTACTGCAGATTTATTTCATCGTGCTTATAAAATTATTTTAATTGATACAATTACGTTCGTTTATAAAGGGTGGGCCATCTATTGGTACGTTTTTGAATTTCGGGGTGACCGAATGGCATACTGTAAGGCCAGTAGAGGGAGCCACATGAACGAAATCGTTTTTCATTCTTGACGCGGATACTTTTAGCTTCACAACAAAAAAAAAATTAATAAAAAATATCAATGTATGCTCATTTGATCGCATTTTTAAAAACGTACCAATAGATGGCCCACCCTGTACTATCAATAATATTAATAATAATAATAATTTAGTTAACTTTATAAATATTTAATTAACTATATAAATATTACATTTACGTTATATTTATGTTCATTTATTAAATAATGGTTTAGTCAACTTTGTAAATATGCTTACTACTACATCACTCTATCAGTTCAAATCACCCTTCTGGTAGTTGAACGAATGTCTAATATTAATACATTCTCGAATACACTTAACTACATTATGTTATGTTTCGTTTTCAAATTTTTCCGTATATATTTGTATAATTCTATATTTGGTACTATACTTGAATTACTATACTTGATTACATAACAATCGCAATTTCAGCTACTACGAATGTATGACTTCATAGTGATTGGAGGTGGTAGCGCAGGTGCCGTGGTGGCCTCGAGATTATCGGAAGTACCTAATTGGACGGTGCTACTTTTAGAAGCTGGCGGTGATGAGAACGAAATTTCGGATGTTCCTCTACTTGTCAGTTATAATCAGCTGACAGAATTCGATTGGAAGTATCAGACTTCACCACCTAATATATCCGCCTATTGTCTCGCCATGATAGGCGACAAATGTAACTGGCCTCGCGGCAAAGTTCTCGGAGGAAGCAGTGTTCTCAATGCTATGATTTATGTTCGTGGTAATAGGCGAGTATATTTATTTCATTTTTATTGCTAAGACTGTCACGTTAGCAAGTTGAAGGCGATCAAACGATTAATGAGAGATTGCTTGTAGGCACGATTACGATAACTGGGCTCGATTGGGTAACACAGGATGGAGCTACGAGGAAGTGCTCCCTTATTTCCTCAAGTCTGAGGACAATCGTAATCCGTATTTAGCAAGAACACCTTATCACAAGACAGGAGGTTACCTGACGGTGCAAGAACCGCCTTGGAGAACTCCTTTGGCGATCGCTTTTTTGCAGGCTGGTCAAGAAATGGGCTACGAAAATCGCGACATAAACGGATTCAATCAAAGTGGCTTTATGTTGATGCAAGCAACAATTCGACGTGGCAGTCGATGCTCGACAGCGAAGGCCTTCCTACGACCGATTAAGAATAGACCAAATCTGCATATAGCAATGCACGCTCAGGTTTTGAGAGTGCTCTTCAACGCCGAGAAAAGGGCAACGGGTGTAGAATTTCTTCGCGACGGCAAACAACGAATTGTAAGATGCAGAAGAGAAGTTATCTTATCCGCCGGCGCGATTAATTCGCCTCAATTACTCATGTTGTCCGGAATCGGTCCCAGCGAGCACTTGACTGAATTTGATATACCTGTGATATCAGACTTACGAGTCGGGGATAATCTTCAAGATCACGTGGGCCTTGGTGGACTGACTTTCTTGGTGAACGAGTCGATCACTTTAATAAGAGAACGATTTCAAACCTTTTCGGTGATGTTTGAGTACATCGTAAAGGAACAAGGACCCATGACTACCCCAGGAATCGAGGCATTAGCCTTTCTTAATACTAAATACGCTGACAAGTCCGGCGATTATCCGGATATACAGTTTCACTTTGCACCAAGTTCGGTCAATTCCGACGGCGAACAAATAAAACAGATTCTCGGTCTGAAAGATCGTGTGTACAATATCATGTACAAGCCCTTGCGCAATGTCGAGACTTGGTCGATTTTGCCACTTCTGCTGCGACCCAAGAGCACAGGTTGGATCAGGTTGAAGAGCAGAAATCCCTTAGTTCATCCGGACATTAATCCCAACTACTTTACGCATAAGGAGGACATAGATGTTCTCGTGGAAGGGATAAGATTGGCGATGCGGGTATCCAACACCAGCGCATTTCAGAGATTCGGCTCGAGACCTCACACGATTCGTATGCCGGGCTGTCACATATATCCGTTTGATACATACGAATATTGGGAATGCGCCATACGACACTTCACCTTCACAATTTATCATCCAACGAGTACCTGCAAGATGGGACCGCGGGGCGATTCCAAGGCTGTCGTGGATCCGCGATTAAAAGTTTACGGAGTGAAGGGACTCAGGGTCGTCGATGCTTCCATAATGCCTACCATTGTCAGCGGCAATACGAACGGGCCGATTATTATGATCGGTGAGAAAGCCAGTGACATTATCAAAGAGGATTGGCGAGTGAAAGGAAAGGGAAGTACCAGACAGAGACGATAAATAAAATTGGGATTTTTAAATACGTTGTACATCATCTCGTTGTATCCAGATATAATTAAAATGTCATATCATACAAAAATAATGTCGTATCCAGATATAACTAAAATGTCATATCATACAAAAATGATTACTAAGCTTTCTTTTTTTTATTTTTTTCATTTTTATAACACATCTTACAACATCAGTTTTTTTAGATATCTTATTGTCATTTTTCATTCACGTACAATTTTCATCATTTTTTTACGGAAACTCAATGAAAAATCTCTATTTGTCAAAATTCGCATAATAATATTTTAAAATTGGATCGATTCGTGGATAGCCTCAAAAGATGACCAATTTTTTCGACGCGGGATTCGTACGCTACCCGAAAGATGGGAGAAAGTAGTGGCCAGCGATGGACAATACTTTGAATCATAAATGTATAACCAGTTTTTTATATAATAAAGCCTCGAATTTCGGAAAAAAAACGGCGGAATCAAAGTTGTACACCTAATAATATTTTAAATGGAAATCAGTATATTAATATAAAGACACATTATAATGAAAAATTAATATTTTTGAGATATTGTCAAATATGATGTCTTTTAGACAATATCTCTTATTACAAATTTAAGTATAAGTATTAATTAATAAACTCATGTGGAGAGAGAGAGAGAGAGAGAGAGAGAGAGAGAGAGATTTTTGTGTATGTTGGAAGAACGTAATACGTATGTACCGAGATATGTACATACACTAATATGTCAGAAACATTGAGTGTTTCAAAGTCAAAAAATTAGAAATTTTAATGGCGATTCTATGTAATGATGACCATTCTATGTAAAATAATGTTAAAATATTAATTTATTCCATTAAACATCGATTACATTATCAATCAATACCCTGTATTTATTTGTGTGTATCATAATATGTAATACTCCTCCTCTATATATAATAATAAATAATTTATCAACATTTTGGTGTGAATCTCGATAAGGATTCCTTATACACATAAATTGCATTAAATTCTATGTATTCAATCAGTAACAAGCACTTACTAAAAGTGCATTTCCTCGATTACACGAAAAGGATTACTATATTTCCGATATACAAGAACATGACGACTTTCGAATCGCAAGTGGGCGGATGTAATTTTATATAACATCTCGTGCCAAAAGTCGCGCGTAGCGAAGCGCATATTTGCGCATATTTTTATCCTCTATTTCCGCTTCCTCGTTTTATCTGTTAATACATCTAACAGAACGAATGTAGCAATTCAACGAAGCAACGTATGCTGTTACAAATTAATTCATATTATTTTTACTTTTTCGATTATCCGTACATATTTGAAATTTCATCTTTGCATTCTATTGCTCTCTAGATGTCTCCGTTATGTCATATCGCTATCCCAATGTATTATGTGGATCTTTTCCTTCTTTCAATGTATTCGGATATATACGTAATATTATTCAGTGTATGTACGCGAAAAGAGATGGATTACCAAGAGAGTGAAAGTGAGATCGACTGTCGTCGTATTTACATCAAACTTTAGTTTGTTAATTTTATGCGCGAAAATAGCTTGCGTAAAGTAACAACTAATAAAAGAAAGTGTAGAAGAAAGACGAAGAAAAGAAGATGTGTTTCCGAGAAATATATTACATGGTTTGGAATGTATAATCTTTAATTGAATACTTGTACTAAATAATATTTCGTATTGCTATAAAGATCCAAACTTTTGGAAATACGAGACTGTATATCATATTAAGCATGCGGCATTTTGAGTTAATCTACTTGTTTAGCACGTGATTTTATCGTAACTTATTTAGAGTTCAAATCTATCTATCTAGAGTTTAAATCTATCTAAAGTTTAAATCGCATATTATTTCTATCGCTAATTTTGTCGTATTCCATTTATTAATGTCTCAATTGCTTGCTCTTCCCATAATGATATTTCATGCGATATACGATTTTTCTTCTCTTTTTTCAAAAGATATTTAAACCCATTTACTTCGTTGAGAAATACAGAAAGGTGCAACTAGAAAAAACTGATTTATTGTCGCAATAAAATTATAATGCACTCATGAGAAAACGCATATTGTTTCGTTACATTAAACTTTATAAAGCTAGCAGGACCAAATCAGCAGAATCAAATTGGACTTATCGGAATTTTTAGTACTCATTTTGTACTAAATTGTACCATTAATGATAATTTTTTATCGTATACTATTTCGAAAAAAATCGCGGTGCTAGCTTAATATCAAGCTGGCAGGACCAAAATAAAAGAAAAAATGAAAAATAATATTAGAAATCAATACAAATTTAAATTTATACTATTTTGTATTGTCAAATACAAAATTTGAGATTTTCTTTATGAAGTTATTTTATATTATTTTTATAAAGTTGCGTAAATTTATAAAAGAAACGTTCGCTCGCGCGAACGTCCAAATAATTATATCAAGACCATTGGTAGTACAAAAAACATTTTCTGAGATTAAAAGTCTGATTCTAAAGATCTTGTGCAAGAGATCGTATCTTCACAAAAACAATAAGAACACATATATCGGAAGAACAAACGCTTCACGTACTTTATCTCGTATTACCACTTTATCCCATATTATCACTGTTTGTTGATCGCGGAAGCAGACCCGGTCATCTTCCAATCTTCATGAGACTATATCATTTTTTTCTTGAGCGTACATGAAGTAAGTAGCGACGTGCGAATGCCATACGGTTACCACACTGTTGCTGGTTAAGGTGGGTAGGTAGGTAAGTAGATAGGTAGGTAGGTAGGTGCGTGTATGTAACAGCAGGAAGAGAATACTTTCACTGCCAGAGTCCGGCTGGGAGCTTTAGGAAGGACAAGAAGAAAACTAGGCACAAATGAGAACGACAAAGATAGTGAGAGTGAAATGGATGGAGGTATATCGGTGCAGTACTGTGCCGTTCTTCCGACTATTATTACCGACTTCACAGCGGACACTCGACTGTCGTCGCGTCACCCGGTGAGTTTTCAGTATTCAGAGGGTTCTTCCGGTAATATTTTGACGGAACTCTTATTGCAGTTTTGGTGATAACATTGATACGATCGGATCGATAAATTAATAATTCTGCAATTTTCCTTGCGTGTGGAAACATACTTGGAATAATTATGACAATTATGGAATAATTATTCCAAGTAATAATTTATACCTATCGGGACAGTGACAAAGTGTTAGTGCAATTTTGATCGAATCACTGGGGAATACCATTAAAAACACATTGACACATCAAGAAAATAATAAGAGTACAAATTTTGTGGCTAAAGGTAGTGTGCTATGTATACGTAACGTAATGATTATTTTCAAATCATCATTATACAAAAATTGTAATAAAAACATCATTTCATTTTGTTGAAATGAAAAAGTCAATCGAATTGATTATAATAAGATTGTACAAATATACGCGATTATACATCGTACAAGTATAAAAAATGTTTTTTCTTTATGACGTACAATACGTCCTTGATAAATTTCCATAAATTATAATATCAATGTAAACATCAATAAAATCATTAACCGATTTTAACCTCAAACAAAAAAAATTCACAATATTGCAAGTTTATTCGAGATAGACGTTTTCATTACATTATAAATATCGAGAAATCAATGTAAATTTATAATATAAAAATATAATGTGTGACTAAAATATAAAACTAGTAAATCTGTTTGATTATGTATTAATATTTACATATGTTAGTCAATAATACACAATTATCATAAATACATTAACATTAAAATATGTATTTTTTTGCAGAAGTTTATGATGTAACATTTTAACTCTTTAAATGTGCAGGATGTATCTGAAATAACATCTACTAATCATACAGTGCTATTCTTAATAAAAAACTAAATGAAAAAATCCTCTACCATTTTGCAATTTTCGCAATAGTTAACGAGATAATAATTTCTAAAGATTGTCGAATAAACGGATAAAATCGATGTATAAGATAGGAATTTTAAGATATCTTTCAGTGTTTTCTTTGTGAAACATTTTAAAGATATTTTAAAGTCCTATACATTGATTTTAAACATAGTAGAGGACTTTTCGAATCAGTTTTTTACTAGAAATAGTACTATATGATTAGCGGGGATTATTTCAAATACATCCTATAT